TGCTGCTGCTGCTGCTGCTGCTGTTGCTGCTGCTGCTGCTGCTGCTGCATACCGCTGTCTTCAAGCTGGGTCTGTGGCAGAGGCGGAAATTCGAGCAGACGATGCAGCGGGGTGTCTCCTGAAGAGAGAGACAAACCAGCAGCAGCAGCAGCAGCAGCAGCAGCAGCAGCAGCAGGAGCAGCAGGAGCAGCAGCAGCAGGAGCAGCAGCAGCAGCAGCGAGCGGTGGAGGAAAATCACCAACACCCCACCCGTCATAGAAGGGGCCGTGCGCCTCGCTCGCATCTGCTGCTGCTTCTGCTGCTGCTTCTGCTGCTGCTGCTGCTGCTTCTGCTGCTGCTGCTTCGTCTGCTGCAGCGCATGCAAACATGTTTGAGGGGGAAACCCCAAATCTGTGTAGCAGCAACTTGCTGCTGCTGTCTCCTCCACCCTGCAGAGACACCCGAGCCTCCTGCCACTGCAGCAGCAGCAGCCACCGCAGCACATCTGCACACAGCCGCCGCGGGGAGACAGCAGCAGCAGCAGCAGCAGCAGCAGCAGGAGCTGCTGCTGCTACTGCTGTTTCTGTTGCTGTTGCTGTTGCTGGTGCTCTGTGGCGAGATAAAGAACGCGAACGAACGCAGGTTCTGCTGCTACTGCTGCTGCTAGTGTTGCTGTTGCTGCTACTGTTGCTGCTGCAGCAGCAGCTGCTGCTGCACCTGTTGCTGCAGCAGCAGCAGGTGTCTCCTTCATAGGCGAAGGGATCTAAGGAGACAATATTCTGCTGTCTCCTCGGCTGCACGAGACAGGGCAGCTGCGCGAGCTGTGCTGCAGCAGCAGCAAACGAATTCAGTGCAACAGCAGCAACAGCAGCAGACAAGCTGCTGTCTTCATGGCTGCTGCTGCTGCTGCTGCTGCTGCTGCGGCTGCTGCTGCTGCTGTGGACGGGCCATCCTGCTGCTGCAGCGAGGAAACGAAAGTCTCTTGCTGCTGCAATTGCTGCAGTTTGCTGCAGCAGNGCCATCCTGCTGCTGCAGCGAGGAAACGAAAGTCTCTTGCTGCTGCAATTGCTGCAGTTTGCTGCAGCAGCCGCAGCAGCAGCAGCTCTGCGTCCTGCAGCAGCCAGAAGGAGACAGAAGGAGAAGCAGCAGCAGCTGCTTCTCCGGCCTTGCTTTCCCCTCTGCTTTCATCTCTGCTGCTGCTGCTGCTGCTGTCCTTGCTGCTGCTGCTGCTGCTGCTGCTGCTGCTGCAGCAGAGACAATCTTCCTCTTCAGGGGCTAGGGGCCTCCAGGGGCCCCAGGCGTCAGCAGCTTTTGTGCGGCGGCCGGTGAGGCTGCAGCAACCAACGAACGGCAGCAGCAGAGTAGCACGAGAAGCACACCATACACCAGCTCCTGCTGCTGCTGCTGCTGTTGCTGCTGCTGTTTTTCCTTTTGCTGCTGTTGCTGCTGCGCCTGCTGGTCCTCCTGCTGCTGCTGCTGTGGTGGCGACTGCGGCGCTACGCGCAGCTAAAACTGACAACCGGAATGCAGCAGCAGCAGCAGCAGGTGCAGCAGCAGCAGCAGCAGCAGCAGCAGGTGTAGCAGCAGCAGCAGCAGCAGCAGCAGCAGCAGCAGTGTCTGTGGGGCCCTGATGAACTGCATGCAGACAGCCAAACGCCTCTCTGATCCATAAGGGGGGAAACTTCAGCAGCAGCTCTGCTGCTGCTGCTGCATGGCGGCAGCAGAGAAGAGACAGCAGCAGGGGGCTCCTGAGGAGACTGTCTCTTTTCAGGCGGTCTCCTGCTGCTGCTGCTGCTGTTGCTGCTGCTGCTCCTGTTGTTGTTGCTGCTGCTGCTGCTGCTGCTCCTGTTGTTGTTGCTGCTGCTGCTGCTGCTGCTGCAGGGAGCGATCGGCCCGTACCCTCCAGGCTTTTCCTTCGCCAGAGCCACGTGCTGCTGCTGCAGGAGCAGCAGCAGCAGTACTTGCTGCTGCTCCTGCTGCTGCTGCTGCTGCTGCTGCTGCTTTCCCCTTCTGGTGCAGCCGCAAGCAGCTGCGAGAGGAAGCAGCTGTCTCCGCCTAGAAGGCCTTGGGGGCCCCCCCAGGCTGCCTCAGCAGGGGGCCCCAGCAGCAGCACGCTGCTGCCGCTGCTGGAGACAAGCGCCATAGGCAGGGGCCCCTCAGCAGCAGCAGCAGCAGCAGCAGCGGCAGCAGCAGCAGCAGCAGCAGCAGCAGCAGTGTCTCCCCGCAGGGACTGCCGGGTCCCTACCCCCACAAGGGCCCTTGAAGAGGGGTAGAGCCTCTTGTCTGTTGCACTGTCTGCTGCTGCTGCTGCTGTTGCTGCTGTTGCTGCTGCTGCTGCTGCTGCCCGCTGCAGTATGTCATATCCGCTGCTGCCTACGCGTCTGCATGCGAGGTGCTGCTGCAGCAGCAGCACGGAGGCCCCCATGCCGCCTACGTTGCTGCTGCTTTCTGTGTTGCTGCTGAGACACCAGGGGAACGGCTGCCACTGCAGCAGCCCCCCAAACAAATTATATCTGATGCTGCTGCTGCTGCTGCTGCTGCTGCTGCTGCTGCACCTCGTCAGGGGCCCCCTGAAGGAGACAGGGGCCCCCAAACGCTCCCTCAGGGGGCCCCCCTTGCTGCAGCGCCGCCCCACAAGCTGCAGCAGCGAGGAGCCGGAGAGGTCTAGTCCTCCTAGGAAGCAGCAGCAGCAGCTGCTGCTGCTGCTGTTGCTGCTGCTGCTGCTGCTGGTGCTGCTGCAGTAGCTGCTGCTGCTGCTGCTGTGGGCAGCAAGAAGCACTGCAGCAGCACAGGGGGCCCCCTCACCTCTCCTAGGCAGCAGCGGCAGCAGCCACGGCAAGCGGCCGTCGCACAGCAAGGAGGGCCCCAGCGCTCTGAGCAGCTGCTGCAGCAGCTGCTGCTGCTCCTGCTGCTGCTCCTGCTGCTGCTGCTGCTGCTGCTGCTGCAGCAGGGGCCTTTGTTGCTGCTGCACATCCTTATAGGGTGTCTCCTCCGATTGACGCTTCAGGCTCTCGGCTTGTTGCTGCACCGGCTCTGCTTCCTGCTGCTGCTGCTGCTGCTGCTGTTGCTGCTGTTGCTGCTGCTGCTGCTGCTGCTGCTGCTGCGCTGCCTTCAAGGCTGCCTCGAGCTCCCACAGCTCCCACTGTGCGACATATGCTGCTGGCCCCGCAACCAGCCGTCGCTGTTGCTGTTGCTGCTGCTGCTGTTGCTGCTGCTGCTGCTGCTGCTGCTGCTTCTTGCTGCGCATGCGCTGCAGCCGCAGCCCCGCTATGCATGCGACTCTGCCCGGCATCAGAGACAAACGACCAGCTGCTGCAGCAGAACCAACGAAAAACACAAACTCACCATCAGAGCAGCAGCAGCTGCTGCTGCTGCTGTTGCTGCTGCTGCTGCTGCTGCTGCTGCTGTTGCTGCTGCATTCAGTTTTGCTGCTGCAGCAACTTGCTGTCGTCCTCCGACCACTGCTGTTGGCTCCACTGCACCTCCACCAGCAGCAGCAGCGGCAGCTGCTGCTGCCCGCGCTGCTGCTGCTGCTGCTGCTGCTGCTGCTGCTGCCTCTCTCGCGGGGCTGGCAGCAGCGCATGCAGCGGAGTGTAGAGGGGAGGGGGGCCCCTCCAGCATCGATTTGCTGCTGCAGCAAGGGGCCCCCAAGGAGGGGACAGCCCAACCGAGCCACGCAGAGGGCACCAGCTGCTGCTGCTGCTGCTGCACTTGCTGCTGCGCCTGCTGCTGCTGCACCTGCTGCTGCACCTGCTGCAGCACCTGCTGCTGCATCTGTCTCCTTATAAGAACCGAAGATAGGAGACACAGACAGCACCAGGCCGTACACCACAAACCAACGCCTACTGGACCCTACAGGGGGCCCCCCAGCAGCAGGGGGCCCCCCAGCAGCAGGGGGCCCCTCAGCAGCAGGGGGCCCCTCAGCAGCAGGGGGCCCCTCCCCCTGCTGGGGGCCCCCAAGGGCTGCTGCTGCAGGGGAGTTAGAATTTTTATTCTGCTGCGTGTTGTGCTGCTGCTGCACCGAACTGGAAGTGTTGGTGTGTGCTGCTGCTGCTGCTGCTGCTGCTGCTGCTGCGTTTGCTGCTGCTGCATCTGCTGCTACTTGCGTTGCTGCTGCTGTTTCTGCTGCTGCTGCGTTTGCTGCTGCTGCATCTGCTGCTACTTGCGTTGCTGCTGCTGTTTCTGCTGCTGCTGCCTCTTCCTCAAGCACCGCCAACTGCAGCATAGACACACCAGGGGGGGGCCCCTCCTGTGCTGCTGCTGAGGGGGCCCCCCTCCTGTGGTTGCCTTGGGGGCCCCCTGAGGGGCCCCCCGCTACAGGCTGCTGCAGCAGAGAAGGGGTTGATGGCCCCGCACCCCCCGCTGCTGCTGCTGCCGTTGCTGCTGCTGTACAAGCAACCGCTGCTGCTGCTGCTGCTGCTGCTGCTGGTTGTGCTGCGGGCGATGTGGGTGCTGCTGCTGCTGCTTGCGTCAAGTGAGCAGCAGCAGCAGCAGCAGCAGTTGGTGTGGCGCTCGAGAGTCGTGTTGTTGCTGCTGTTGCTGCTGCTGCAGCTGCTGCTGCTGCGGGTACATCCAGGGCTTGCTGCAGCGTTGCTGCTGCACGCTGCTGCTGCTGCTGCTGCTGCTGCGGCTGCTGCTGCTGCAGCGGCAGCAGCACAGCAGATGCAGCTACCACCCCCAGGCATCCAGGATGCAGCTGCAGCTGCACTGTCTCTGTCTCCTCTTTGTCTCCCCCCTGCAGCAGGGGGGGCCCCTGGGGCCCCCAGGGGCCCCTGGTCTCCTGGGGGCCCCCTATGGTTGCTGCAGCAGCCTCGTGCTGCAGCAGCAAGGTGGGGGGCCCCCTAAGGCTCGGGGTCTTGGGGGCCCCCCTTAGTACCCTGCTGCTGCTGCTGCTGCTGCTGCTGCTGCTGCTGCTTGCTGCAGCAAAACGCCACTGTCTCACTGCAAGAAGGCAGGGGCCCCCAGGGGCCCCCACCGAGACCAAGCGGCCACAAAGGGTACGGCTATGGGGGCCCCCCCTTCGCCTGCTGCTGCTGCTGCTGCTGCTGCTGCTGCTGAGGGTGGGGGGCCCCCAAGGGGCCTGGGGGCCCCCCTTGTCTCTGTTGAGCTGCAGCTGCAGCGACAGAAAGGTGCTGCTGCTGAAGGAGCCCCAGATGGTGCATGCGACAGCAGCAAAGCAACGTTGTCTACGCTGCTGCTGCTGCTGCTGCTGTTGCTGCTGCTGCTGCTGCTGCTGCTGCTGCGTGAGAGCAGCGGCGTCAACAAAGAGCAGCAAGCCGCCGCCCTCCCCAGGAACAAACACCAGACACCCCAGCAGCACAGGCGCCCAGCTGCTGCTGCTGCTGCTGCTGCTGCTGTTGCTGCTGCTGCTGCTGGTGTGTAGCCAAGCGGGCCCCGCCCCCCCTTCTTTCAGCAGCAGCTCCTTCACTCCTACGACAGCAACAGCAGCAGCAGAAGCAGCAGCAGCAGAAGCAGCAGCAGCAGCAGCAGCAGCAGCGGGGTCGAGCCCGTGCAGCAGCTGCGGCGGTGGAAGCCGCTCAATCCCCAGCAGCAGCAGCGCCCCACATATT